CGGTGATGGCGGAGGGTTTGGTGGCGGTGATGCTGGCGGGCTGGGAGGCGGTGATGGCGGAGGGGTTGGGTGAGGGCGGGGCGGGGGGGGTGGGGGGGGGGGTGTTATGAGGCGCCATGAGGCACATTCTCACGGCAGCCCAACCGCACGATTGCGTATGAGCAGCCTGGGAAGTGGGATCTGTGCGGCACTCCGGGGCTGCGCTGGAGCGCGTCCCACCACCTCTCCTCCGAGCTCCTCCCACTGACAAACAGGATGACGAGCCTGCAGAGCAGCATTTGGATCAAGGTGGGCGCCTACAACGCCATCGGCCTGATCTTTTACCTGCTCTTCTCCCTGCCCATGAGCTACATCAAGCACTACAAGCTGGACTTCACCAACACCGAGCTGCTCAAGTGAGTGTGTGCGTGTGTGCATGTGGGGGAAATCAGCAGGATACTGGGACGAAGGTGCGAAAGGTCCTCACTGGGATCGGCTTTTTCACAGGCCGAGGGCATTGCAGAGCGACCACAAACCCTTGCACCTGTGAGGCCTGGGCTCGGACCAGTATTTGCCAAGCGGCATTTGATGTCCCCAAGTCCTGCAGTCCCGACGCACAGTCCCTCCCCCCCCCCACCACACACACATACCTCACACCAATCCCATCTCCCCCCACACTGCAGTGTGGTGGACATGCAGTTTGTGGACGGCAAGTGGGAGGCGGCGGCCTCCAACATCGACCGCGTGGGCACAGCGGTCACGACCCTGTCGCTGGCCGACTCCTCCGACCCCCAGCGGAGCCTGAAGGTCTACGGGTACCCGGGGGCGAGCGGGTCGCTGGCCTCCAACACCCCTGTGCGATCGACGCGACTGAGCGGGGGGGCGGCGTATGCCAGGTCCTCCCTCTCTGGCAGGGGAACCACGCCGGCGAGCACCCCTCCAGCCTCGGTCATGAACGGTCAAGCCCACCCGGCAGCAGATTCGTGAAGCGATGAGCACATGGGAATCCCTGGGCCGGGCAAGGCTCAGAGTCATCACAGGCTCAGTTGACATGTTGGAGAGGTGACAGCACTTGCTGTGCCACATTCATATATAGGCCATCCCTGGTCTCCATACCCCTTTTCATACTTCAATGACCCCCCTAACCCCGCTTGACTGTCTGTTGACTGAAGCAAGGAATGCAGGAGCCTGTGTGACTGGGCTGAGGGGGGATGGGGGCCAGAGGTATCCTCGTCAGGTTTGCTGGCGTGGCACCGCCAGGCCATGACGTCCGGCCATGCCGACACCCTGGCTTGGCCCCGTCGCCTCATCATGGGGGCCCAGTTCATGCCGCACTTACCATCCCAACTTCTGTAGCTTGGGCAGCTGGCCAGATGAGGAGTGTGACGTAGGCCTCGGCCTGACTGGACTCCCCCGGGCCTGCGTGCCGGAATGAATTGGAAGGAATTCCTCCAGGACTACTGGGCGGGCGTCAAGAAAATACCCCAGATATTCCAGAGGATAGGATTCCGAAAACGAACGCTTGAGGATGAACTCAATGAGGTGAGCATGCGGGACGCAGGGTGCACCCCCCTAACCCTGGGGGAGGGTTTTGCCAGTTGGGACCTCCAGCCCTGCTCAGCGCTGGCGCCAGCGTTCCGCCCCCGCGCACCCATGCGCACACACAGGCCCTCCTGCGCGGGAACCTGCGCAAGGTGTTCAGCGGCTTCGACCTGCTCATGCTGGGCCTGGGCATCACCATCGGTGGGGGCGTCTGGCGCCTCACAGGCCACGCCGCCAGCTCCTTGGCAGGGTGAGGGATCCGAAGCTGTTGCTGCCGGGGCTCATTCAGGTTGAGGCTGCCTTTGTAGAGGGGCCGGGTGATCTGTCCCTGCGCTGGGGCCACCCATTGGTGCGCATGGCCTCACATGACCTTGATTCTTCACTGGCTTCACATCACAGGCCGTCCATCATCGTCTCCTACCTACTGGCGGGCATGGCCTGCACCTTTGCTGCCGCTTGCTACGGGGAGCTTGTTGTGGTGAGTCAGCGCTGTGTGGTTTCATGCTGCTGCGTGGTTGGAGGTCCGCGGCTGCTTGCCGCTCACGAGGCCGAGCTGGCAGTGTGGAACCTTTGTGGAGAGGCGCCGCGGCCTGCTAGCAGGGTTGCACTGGGGCCCTCAGCAGCGCGCGGCCTGCAACATGCACGCCCCAGCTCCAGGTGTCATCCAGCTAGCCCTGGGCGACCATTCCCACCCTGACACAGGAGTACCCCGTCGCCGGCGGCGCCTTCACCTACATCATGGTGTCCTTTGGCGAGTTCCCCGCCTGGATGACGGTGAGCAACCAGATCACGGAGTACCTCTTTGGCATGGCCGTGGTGGCCCGCTCCTTCTCCGGCTACCTGGCCAACCTGTGCGGCGCCGACTCCACGCTCTTCACGCTGGGCGGCAGCCGCGTCCCCGGCGCCTGGTCCGTGGACTTGATGGCCCTGGCAGTCATCCTGGCCGTCACCGCCCTCCTCTGCGTCTCCGGCCACTCCGGATCCAAGTTCATATCCTGTGCCACCGTGCTGAAACTGGGCTTCATCGTCCTCATCCTCATCGTGGGCTTCACCAAGGCCGACCCCGCCAACCTCTCCCCCTTCCTCCTGGACGACAGCGTCAACGGCATCTTCACCGCAGCCGCCGTCTTCATGTACGCCATGACCGGGTTTGACTCCGTCTCCAACGCTGCGGAGGAGGTGCGGGAAAGGATTACTTGGAAGAAGAGGGGGGGTTGGAGTGCTTGAGGGTGCAAGGAGGCCGAGATGGGCTACGGGAGGGCGGGGGGCCACCATCCTCGACCCCCCTGTCACAGCAAACCCGCCACACCTTTTCCTCCCGCCCATAATCCCAGGCCAAGGACATCGGGTCGCTGCCATGGGCCATGGTGGGCACCACCCTCATCGCCACCGTGGTCTACATGCTGCTGGCCCTCATGCTGTGCCTGCTGCAGCCCTACACGCAGATCAACCGCCTGGACGGCTTCACCAACGCCTTTGTCTACGTCGGTGAGGCCCTGCACATTGGAATTGAGGGATCAAACTGGGGAGTATCTCTCCGCAAAGTCTACCCTTTTGCCTCCCCTGGGGCCCCACCATGATCTTTCCTCAGGCTGGCGCACGAGCGGGGCCAAGCAAAACAGCATTATCATCACCGCCTCGCCCACCTGCCCGCTCCCAGGGCTGGACTACATGCAATACATCGTCGCCACGGCGGCGGTGCTGGGCTGCATCACGGGGCTGATGGTGGGCCTGTATGCCATCTCCCGTCTGGTCATGGTGGTGGCGAGAGACTGGATGCTGCCCCCCTTCCTGGCCCGCGTGTCAACCCGCACCCAGACCCCCCTGGTCGCCCAGATCGTGCTGGGGCTGATCATCGGTGAGGACGATGGGATTTGGGGAGGCGGGATTGGTAGCGCCCAGGAGAGGAGGGAATGGGTAGGCGGCCCATGCCTGGGCGGGGGGGTGGCCACCTGTTGGACCGGCATCCTCGGTTGGGCGACTGGGCGTGTTGGGGCCGCTGGGCATGTGATGGGGGCTGGCAGGAGGGTTGTGTGCAGGCTTCTTCCCTTCCCTTGTCACTGTCTGACTCCCTCTGGCCTACATACCACCTTAACCAACACCAAGTAAACCCACCCCTCCCGTCCATCTCCAACCACTGCAGGCACCATCGCGTTGCTGGTGCCCGCCGACTTCCTGGGCGACCTCGTCTCCTTCGGCCAGCTCTTCTCCATGTGGTCCGTGGTGAATGCCCAGGTTTTCCGCCGCTACTACCCCGAGATCAAGCTACGCTTCACGCGCTTCGGGGCCGTGGAGACCGCGAACGCCAAGGTGGAGTCCATGGCGCTGGGGGGTAGGCTGAACCTCTCCGTCGCCGCGCGGCGGCGGCTGGTGGCCCTCCACATGGCGCTCATGACACTCTTCGCAACGGGTGAGAGGGACGGAGGGAGGGAGGGAGGGGTGTCGTAATGGTGCCCCTGGAATAAGCTGCTGGGATCGTTCAGTTGTGCATCATTGGCATCAGGGCAGGGCGGACGGGCTGCCAGCTTGCCACACTCTAGCGCTGTGCCCCTTGCCAAACCCCCTCCCCCTGGACCCCTCCCCCTCTAAAGAAGCTTCCCAACCATGTATCAAAGCACACCCTTTCCTCCTCAACCACGGTCATAGGCTTGGCGACCTGGTACACGGTGATGGAGCGCAACAAGCAGCACAACATGGAGGTCATCGGGTGCTCCGTCTTTGCGGCGCTCTTCTTCCTCGTCACCCTCTCCATGAAGCTGCTCTGCCCCATCCAATACGAGCCCCAGCGCTTCCACATCCCCTCCTTCCTCATGCCCTGGCTTCCTGCCGGGGCCATAGGCCTCATCCTGTTTGGGTGAGGCGGCGGCGTGGCGGGTGGGTGGGGTGGTCTGCCTCGTTCGAGGACCAGCCCACTGGCTGGTGGCATTCAGTGATATTCTATAAGCCACAGTGTGGCCCCCTCGGGCGAGACATGCGGTCGCATATCACAAAAAGTTGCAGGAAACGGCACTCTGAGATGCTCACCACCCTCTTCTTTGACCCTGCGTAGCATGGCAAGCATCAGCCCTTCTGGGTACTACAAGATAGGCGCGTACAACCTCTTGGTCTTCCTCTTCTATTTCCTGTTCTCGCTGCCCATGAGCTACATCAAGCACTACAAGCTCGACTTTGTCAACACCGAACAAATGAAGTGAGGTGGCAAGGAGTTTGGGGGTTAGGAGGGGGAATGGTGGGGATGTGCGAGCCTTCGCTTAGCTGCTTGAGCACTCCCTCTCACAAAGATGCCTCGCCTAGGGCCATGGCCTGGCGGCCGACTCGCCCTCTCAAAACCTCTCAAGAAGTGATCCGCCACCGCCTCTCGCCCTCGCTCCCCTGTCCCTCACTGGGCCCCCCTTACCCCCCCCCCTCCCCCCCCCCCCTCCCAGTATCGTGGACCTGGTGTACGACCACGGCCAGTGGATGCCCAGCAAGGAATCCACAGCGAGGCTGGGCGCGGGCGCCGGCTCCTACCTGGCTGCCGAGCTGAGCGAGGGATCGTACACCAACCGCCCCTGGTCGCGCCATGCCTCCACCATCCTCAAATCCAGCAGCAACCCAAGCGGACGCGGCGCGCGCTTCCTGGACGGCGCGGCGTGGGGCCCCAGCGCCGGCAGCAGCCGTGCCCTGATCGGGGGCCTGTCCACCTCCTCCGTCCCTGACGTGCTCGAGCCCACCGCCGGCTCGGCGGCGGCCACGGTGGCCTCGCGCATCCTGCCGGCCATGGCGCGCGAGGGGTCGGGCGTGCCCTCCAGCCCCACAGGCACCGTGCCGACCATTGCAGAGGACGAGCCGCTGGAGCTGGCAGCGCCCGCCGCGGCGGCCCCGGGGACCGGCGCCGGCCCGGTGCAGATAACCTACCACCCGATCGACGAGTGAGTCGCTGACCGGGCGTGCAAGGCACATTTCTCCGCCCCGCAAGGTGTGTACCAGGCCTTGCCAGCCCCTCGCTTCACGTTAAGCCGGGCCCTGCGCCCGGCCGAGTATCCCCTTCCTGAGAGTCCCTTTCCAGCAGCACCCGAGTGGAGCGATGCCAGTTTTGAATGACCCTTTGTCCTTTACACACGTAATCTGAGCCGAGACCAAGTGCTTTTTTAGCGACTGGGGGTGGTTTGACAGGGAGGCATCGAGGATAATCGCTTTGTGGATGGCTTGTCAGAGCAGGGAACAGCTGCACACCACACAGTGCCAAGCCAGGACTTCTGTTCTGGTTGACACCAGCTTGACGATGCAAAGACTGCTCTTGAGAAAACAACAGGAATCCTCACTGGCACTTGAGCGAGGCGGAGTGTCTCGTGGTGAGCTCGATCTGTCTCCCCCACCCCCTGCACATGTGCATGGCGGCTAGGGAGGGGAGACACCCTCACCTCCCTGCATGTCACGCATCTGATCAAAGCAACAGAAGAGGGGCTATTACATGTTTACATTCACATGTAACACGCAGCCCTTCCTTCCCTGTGCACTGCACCCATACCACTGTGAGCGGGAGGCCTGCTGACACCTCCTAAAGTTCCAGAGGCGTGGGGTTCTCCTCACCTAGCAAGCCACAAGCTACCCAATTTTAACCCCCTTGCGCTGACTAGAAGCAGCAGCGTGACGGAATATTTAAACTCTGGCCATGAATTGGTGTGGTCACCCTTGGGGCTGCAGGGTTGGTTGAGGGCTCTCACCACGAGAGCTTGTCCTGCCGACTGGGCTCGATGCAGAGCCCAACAATCACTCCTTACACTGCGCCGGCACGTCTACGGGGGCCCAGGCCCGCGCTCAGCTGCGTGCATACTGGGCAGTCCAGGCGCGGGCGGTGTCCATGGCCTCGACCTCGTTCCCCTTCCAGTGCCTCGCCACCGCCTCGTCGAGAGGGTCATCAGGGTTTGGCGCGCTCATCAAGGCTTGTATGCTGTTGAAGTGGAGGAGGCGGGGGAGAGGGGTTGAGCAGAGGTGATGGAAAGACAAAACTTGCATGTTTGGACATGCCGAGGGGTGGGAGTCGCCTATCACACACCACACCCCTCCTCCTCTAGTACTGGAGTCCTCCCATGTCCCCCCGCTCCCACATCTCACCTGAGCAGGACTGTCCTGATCTGGAGGGCAGGGCTCCACTTGTCCTTCAAAATGTCCAGGCAGATGCGACCCAGCTTGTCCACATTGGGGTGGTAGATCTTGGTCAGGAAGCGGACCTTGGGGGCCGCCATAGGGTAATCCTCAGGGAGGAACAGCTCCAGCTTGAACACGCCGCCTGGAATTGGCACAGCCATGAATAAAGCAGATGAGGAAGAGCCTTAGGGTGGGGAATGGAGGATGCTTTCTGGAGACATGTCGATGCGCCCTTCATCACCGCCCCATTTTCACCCCATATTCACACCTTGGTATGGGGAGGAGTCGGGCCCGAATATCACCACATTGAAGTAGCGAAGGTTCTCCTCGGAGGGTGCAGCAGAGATGCCGGGCACTGCATCGACGGGGGAAAGTGAGGGATGGAGCAAGATACCAACCGGAGCCACAACGTGGTTGCCACCAGAAACTGGTGACCACTACTTGCTCCGCAGCATATGCAGCTAGCTCACCTGGTTCTGTCAGAAGCCTTTGACTCTCCTGCAAATATTGTGGGAGAGTGTGAGGCCGGCTGAGAGGTTCTTAAGGAACATATAGCTGAAGTGATCTTCCACGGTGTCGTGCAGCCAAGCTTACGGCAACCCACCTTGATTATACGACGAGGCAGCTGGGCAGCCTGTGCAGCCGCTGCCATGCTGCTATGCGATAGGGGAGCTGCGGCGCTCCTGGAATGGAAGGGGTGACCAGGAGGGCTACAGGCGACCCCAACCTTGGGCGATGAATTCGATGGTGGCCGGATGCACCAGACAACGCACTGACGATTTTGAGCCTATGTTGTTCTTGCGATGGGTAGAGTATCGGAGGGCGGAGCACACACGGGAACTCGTCCTGGTCGGGGTATTCGTTCCACTCAGGCTGGCGGGAGGCCACGGCGAGAGTCGCGCTCAACTCACCCGCAAGTGACCCACCCGAGACAACCTACACCTCACTTGGGATGCGACCCTGGAGCATCATACTGTTATTTGGAGGACGTTGAAATCAACCACATCCCCTGGGTGGCATCTGTCTGTGCTCAACAGGGCAAACTTCTCCCGGAGAGGGCTAACTCGTTCACCCAAGAGAGCTGCACGGTCATGGGGGGCGCGTCAGACCTCAACGTACCGAAAGGTATCATCCACAGGAAGGCTGCGGGAACAGCATATCCCTGCGGCCTGATGGGCTCCCTGTTTGCCTATGCGTTCCGGTGGTGTTGCCCATACATCCGAGCTCCCACACCTGTGCAGGCATTTGGTCGCCCGCTGGAGGATGGTACTCTGACCCCAAGTACTGGAAACGGAACACTGCCCTCGCAATTGGGTGAGATCAGGAGCAGGGCACGTGGCTCGGAGGGGTGGTTTCATGGATCTCACATGACCATAATCTTGCCTCACATCTTCCAACCCTCGCTGACCAACTTGGGTCGCAGGATCATCGTGGCCATTGCTATTCCTGTGTTCCGGACGTCTGTGTCCAAGGAGCAGCGATATGGGGAGCCACAACACGACATCCCCTCCCAGAAGTGGACCCCTAAAGAGAATTTCCATGTTGCCAAGTGAATGGATGCCAGTGGGTGCGCGCAAGGAGCCAAAGAGTCATCATGCATGACTCCTCGCTCAACAAACTTGTGATGGGGGCCCAAGGCCAAATCTGCCTGGCGCCCAGTAGACTGTAAAACATACGCAACAGCCTGAAAGGCCACTGAAAATCTTGCATGTACACATGCTTGGGGACAAGGGACCGTGGGATGATTCAACACTCGAGGGCTTCCCATCCATTCCGCCCTGGACGTTTCTGGAAGTTAAGTTCCATGATGGGTCTACGATGCGCAGAGCCTCGAGAGAGGGATCTCTTGTGCAGCAATTATTATTCACAGGCCCGAAATCTTGAATGAGCAACAAATGTCAGTACAAGCCTCGATCTTGGCTTGAACATGGGTGAAGGGCAGCAGCAAAGAGGTCTCAACAAAAAGCAACAGTGCGCGGATGGTTTGCTCATCGATTGTTGTACATCTACAGCCATAAATAAAGCTGTACATGTCAAGCAGTGAGAAATGGGGCGAACGCATATTTTTCAGTTCATTGTAATAACAAACCCCAGTGTCTGAACCAAACGTGCAATGCTGTTCCTAACACCGACCCCCAGCTGGAGGATGGTAGCTGTGCTTCGGTGCCAACATGGGATCATGAAGCCTGGGTTCAAAGGATGAAAGCGTCTCTTAATCATCCTAGACGACCACAGATGCCATTGGAAGGCAAGTCTTACTTCATTTGTTCCATATATTCAAACTGGCCCAGAGGGGACCGCGTTCTGGTGGGGGGCGCAGCCCCGTCAGCATGGCGTCAACCCTCGCCCAAAGTCCGCTCGGATGAGACCAACCCGCCGGTACGATCTCCTCACCTAGATCAGCCTCGATAGATTGTTTCCAGTGGCTTTGGGTTTTGGGGCTTGGCGAATTGTGTTCGAGGCAGGGCGCTCGTATTGCGCACACCACTGAGGGGGGGCACGCGGTGTTTGTCCCCACGACACGATCCCTGGCGTGGGGGTCTTGCCAATTTTTCGCAGGTCCCCTTAGTGGCAGCGAGGTCGTCAGCGCCCGGGAATCCACAGCCGTGCTCTCGCTCCCATACACCTATCCGCCTACAGTCGCAGCTTCTGCGCCTGACTGTAGCCGAGGTTCCTTCTCGTAGCCCGTCCACAGCCCCAGGTCACCGATGGACGGTCCAGTCGATAGAGAGGAGGCCGTGTACCTGGCCAAGCTCGCCGAGCAGGCGGAACGCTATGATGAGATGGTGAGCCCGGCACCCTCGAGAGGGGCGGATGCACTGCAGCATTTCTGGCGTTTCAACAGACCTGCGGAGTAGCTGGGGAAGGGTCATGCGGTGCCCCTGGGTGCCACGGAGCCGGTGCCAGCTCTTCATCAGTCATCGGGATGGGCCTGCGAGCTCCCTGCTTTTCGGGGCCCGCGGTGGCTTGGGTGGCAGGGTCAGCGTGGAGCTGATCGCCCCGACCCCTCGCCCCGTCCCGCGCAGGTGGCGGAGATGAAGAAGGTCGCGCAGATGGTGCACGACCAGGAGCTGTCCGTGGAGGAGCGCAACCTGCTGTCCGTGGCCTACAAGAACGTGATTGGGGCCAGGCGCGCATCCTGGCGCATCATCTCCTCCATCGAGCAGAAGGAGGAGTCCAAGGGGAACGAGGAGAACGTCAAGCGCATCAGGAAATACCGCGAAGTGGTGAGGCTGGCGTGTTGGAAGGGGTTTGGCAGCGCACATTCGGTTGAGGGCGACCGGAGCATGCACTTTGCCTTCTTGGGGTGGACTTCCGTGCACCCTAGGGCTCCTCTGTCGGTGGGCTGCCCCAGGCGCGCCACCCCCCTGGAATTCCGACTCCTCCCAAGGATTTCATGGCATCTCCCCCCCC